ATAGATAGATAGATAGATAGATAGATATAAATTCAGACTCTAAATGCTACAATTTAGGATCTCCAAGCTTCCTTGACTGCCAAGAGAGGAAAGGAGAGAGCGAACACAAATCACATCATAAACAACATACTCAGAGCCAGTCAAATAGCTCAGCAGATTAAAATGCCTGCTTAGGCAGATTCAGGGGCAGGGAGTTCAATCCCAAACCTGCCATGCTGGCCCTACCCCTGCCAGACACACTGAGACTGTGATTGAGACTAGGCGTGGTGGTGTGCACCTGTATTCCCAGCACTTAGGAGGCTGTAAACAGGTGGATCACTCCAAGTCCGATCTATGCAGTGAGCCCCTGTAGACCCTGTCCTAAATACAATAAATAAATAAATAAATAAATAAATAAATAAACTCCAATGTCCAGTGTACTAGAAACATAAAATGGAAAAATAAGAACAGCAAGCATTCATGGGCTGTCACTGTTTACTAAATAGCCTTCCAATATGCATATTAATTCATTTAATCTTCACAATGCCCCATTACACCTATCAGCAAACTTCTCTGACAAATGTTTTCTGCTTTCAAGGCTTTCTGCTTCCTAGCCAACTACTTAGCTCTACCGACATAGTTTGGAAACAGCCATAGACGGTCTGCAACAGCGCGATCGCAGCCGTGACCCAGTGCAAATTTAATTATGAAAACAGTAGGTGGGCCAGAGTTAGCCGGCCCTGGCTCTGAGACCAGTTCTATCTTTGTCCTCTTTCTATAGATGAGAAAACCGAAGCACAGAAAGGTGACAACCCAAAGTCTCAAGTGACATCTGGTTCCTGAGTTCATAGCCCTCCATCCTATCATATTAGTTAATGACATCACATCACTACCTGTAAAACTCTCACTCAGTACCAATTCAGGTTTTCCTAATTCAAAAGTTGCCAGCCAGCAGTCAGTAAACAGTACCCTCAGGCCTCGCCCATAGACTCAATTCAAACCCTCCTTCTTTTCCTCCTCCCACCCCCTGTTCCCTGCTTGAGCTCTCCTCTGAAACCCCAGGGTCTTTATTCTTGGTACCTCCAAATCAATCACCTTCTGTTTATTATACACTTTTTCCAACCTCTTTGGAGGGCTCAACACCCAGGTTTTGATGGGACATTGAACCTGCTGGGAAAAGGTCCAGACCGACTCTGAAGAGCCTGGGACAGAGCAGAGGGCAGAGGAGAGGCCAGGCACTCACCAGACCGTGGCAGGCACTGAGGACTGCAGTCCCGACTGAGTTGCCCTGCTGCTGAACTGTGCCCCTGAGATGGCAAGGGGGGCCCGAGGAAGTGGTGATGTCAACATGGGAAAGATTCCCGTATCTCTTCTCCACGATGTAGCTATTGGAAAGAAATCCTCGATTGACGGTCAGATTAAAGAACAGGTCCTTCTCTTCATGTGCAATTCTATAGTACACCCAGTCCTCGGAGCCTTCCAAGCCTCTTTTCCTTCTGCTGCTGGAGACAGGAAGGTTCAAGCCATAGGACAGGAAGTGCCCGCTAGAATCTACTCGGACGGGAGCCACCACGTGATATTCTGGCAGGGTCTGGATGAAATGCTCTGAAAGAGAAGAAGACATAAAATAAGACTGAGAGACTTGGGGCAGTCTGCGCAGAAGCAGATCCGCTTCCACGTGGAACCTGGATTCTAGATTGCAGATTGCAAAACCCACTGTTGACTTGAAGCTCGGAGATCCTTTCCACCATACAAGTCCTGTCCACAATAAAGTCCCTGAGCAGCTGAAAATTGCATAGTGCTTCCTCCTCAGCAACATACACCAGTCTAAGCTGACACTGAAACAGAGCCCTGGGTGTCAGATATTTCATCAGAAATAACTTAAGATGAGTACTAATTGATGAGGAATACTGATATGATAAAGGGTAAGATCAGCATCAGGATCAGGGACAGGGCAAATCTAGAGCTCATTGACACAAGTCACAGAGGTTTCTGGCAGGGTGCATAAACTCCTCAGGAAACTTCCTGCTCAGTGCAGTTAAAAGATAGAGCAAAAATGAAACTACAGTGAGCTCAGAGAACACACTTGGATAAACCGCACAGCGATGACAGCACAAAAAAGGGTTATGATATAGCAGAGTGCTTAAAAGAGCTTGGAGATTTTAAATGTTTACAAGTACAAAGTAGACAAAGTAGGGCTGGAGAGATAACTCAGCAGTCTGAGCGCCTGCCTGGCAAGTTCAAGGACCCGGGTTGCATCTCCAGAGTACTACAGGCCCCACCCCCTAGGTGCTCTGAGCCACGGAAATCTGGTGTGTTATCTAATGCCTGTATATGCAGCACTGAGGAGGCTGAGACAGAAGGATCACTTTGAGTCTGAACTGCATAGCAAGATCCTGTACCAAATAAATAAATAAATAAGATAAAATGGTAAGGCAACATATTAGAATATTGGAAGCTTAGGTATTTTTTCAAAACAACAAAAAAAATGTCCACTTTAAAAATACAAGGCAGACTCCTTGTTTCTTACACAAACATACATACACACACAAAATTTTTTTAAAAAGTATTTGGTACAGAGTTTCAATATGCAGCTCAGATTCTTACTGATCCTCCTGTTTTCAGCTTCCCAGGCACTGGGATTACAGACGTGCCCCTCCACACCTGGTTCCAGCGGCCAATCCCCAGTGCTTAGTCCAATGTGCTATCTCACTCACCCTTCAACTTAAACTTTTTGACTTATCTGAATTTTAATCTTCATCACTGCCCCTTTATTTTGCTGTTTTATAATAACAAAGGATCTTATAAGCATGGAATTTGTCATCATTCAGCATGATTGACTTAGTAACACAAACCATTGACCACTTAGTAAGATAATATTTTGGTTCAAATGAAAAGAGAAGGGAAGAGAAGGGATGGGAGGGAGAGAGGGAGAG